GACAAATGACAATCGCAAGAAACATTTGGGGATGTTGTTGTTTCACGGTGGGATTGAAGGGTTATAATGGGGAAATGAAAAATGGGGAGGGATTAACCTAATACATTAATTCCTTACCAGGTCTAATCCCACCCCCATAGACATGATAAAATTGTACATTGTTTTGATGTATTAAGGGAGTCTGATGTAAGCTTATACTATACGATGGTTACACCAAACAACTGATAATGTCATAATATATACCAAATGCCCCCTATTTACCTATGTCAATCTTATCATAAATTAGATTTGATATTATCAATTGGATTAGACTTGGTATATGAAGAATTGTATAAAAGGACTTTAATTTAATTTTGAGTATCCCCTCATGGTTAAAACTTATAGTAGCCCTTGGTTTCCTCACATGCATTTTTTATTTTAACAAAATGCCTTTTTTTCTACCTATTCATTGTAAATTCATTACTTAAAATTATGCAGATAACCACATAATTTAGGGTTGGTGTATAGGATAAGATAAGGTATAACAGTAAAAAATCTGATAGTATAACGCCTAATTATATAAGATCTAATAAATTTTAATATTTTCTAGCATTTGATATGATATTGTATAAGATAATGTATTATATAAGATAATCATATCCAATATTTGGTAAGGTACAATATTATACTAGATAGGATAAAAATATATTTTTGAAAAAAAATATCTTAATAAAAAATTTCGATTAAATGAGAAAACCAAAGGCCAAAATGCAAAAGGGCAAACGCTTCGTCAAACTCGGACGGTGGCAGCAAAATATCGTCAAGGCTCTGAAAATCACCTTAGGTGCATTATTTCTTCATCAATTTTCTCATTTCTCAAAAAATGGGGGCAAAAAAAGAAAGATAAAGACATTTTTTTTGGGATTTTAGATGATGTTATAGCGAACTTTGCCAGAAGTGGAGGACCTGGGGACAGAATGTTAATAAAGAGTTTTTTATTTTAGAGCAAATACCATTTTAGGTCCCTAACAAAAAATATGGTCCCCACTTTAGTCCCTTCAGAAAAAAATTAGTCTCGAGGTACCTAAAAAATTCAAATTGAACCCATTTTAGTCCTTTTGAGGGACTGATGTGGGTCTTTCTTGAATTTGTGAAGGACCACAATTTCAACTAATTGGATCCACTTTGAATTTCTTAGAGACCTCGAGACTAATATTTTTTTGTAAGGGACTAAAGTGGGATCATGTTTTTTGTTAGGGACCCAAAATGATATTTACTCTTTATTTTATTATTTATTTATGTTCAGTATATCGAGTGACTTGTTATGGTGATAATCAATGGTTTTTCTTTCTTTGAGATGCTAGGGCTGATTAGTGGTGTTTGTATTATACCTGAACCTGGATCTACGAGCATGGTCGATCCGAATTCGTGGCAGAATAGAAGGGCCACCACACAAATGGAAGTGCCCCGAAGGAACAGTTTTGGGGTCGCCAGCAACAATGTCGCCATCTAGGGTTTGAATTTGATAGCTTCCAGCAGAGTTCACCGAGACTACTCGCCGGCAAAAGACAGTCATAAGAAACATCTGGGGATGTTGCTATTTCACGGTGGGATTGAAGGGTTATAACGGGGAAATGAAAAATGGGGAGGGATTAACCTAATACATTAATTTCTTACCACGTCTAATCCCACCCCTAAAGACATGATAAAATTATACATTGCTTTGATATATTAAGGGAGTCTGATGTATAAGCTTATATTATACGATGGTCACACCAAACAATTGATAATGTCATAATATATACCAAATGGCCCCTATTTTCCTATGTCAATCTTATTCTGAATTAGATTTGATATTATCAATTGGATTAGACTTGGTATATGAAGAATTGTATAAAAGGACTTTAATTTAATTTTGAGTATCCCCTCATGGTTAAAACTTATAGTAGCCCTTGGTTTCCTCATATGCATTTTTTATTTAAACAAAATACCTTTTATTTCTGCCTATTCATTATAAATTCATTACTTAAAACTATGCAGATAACCACATAATTTAGGGTTGGTGTGTAGGATAAGATAAGGCATAACAGTAAAAGACCTGATAGTATAACACCTAATTATATAAGATCTAATTAAATTTTAATACTATCTAGCATTTGATATGATATTGTATAAGATAATGTATTATATAAGATAATTCTATCCAGTGTTTGGTAAGGTACAATATAATATTAGATAGGATAAAAATAAATATTTTTGACAAAAATATCTTAATAAATTTTTTTTGGATTAAATGAGAAAATCAAAGCCAAAAAGCAAAAGCGCTTCGTCAAACTCAGACGGTGGCAACAAAATATCGTCAAGGCTCCTAAAATCACCTTGGGTGCATTATTCATAAAATGAGGGCAAAAAAAAGAAACCTAAAGACATTTTTTTTTGGTTTTAAATGATGTTATAGTGAACTTTGCCAGAAGTGGAGGACCTGGGGACGGAATGTTAAAAAATAGTTTTTATTTTATTATTTATTTATGTTCAGTATATCCAGTGACTTGTTATGGTGATAATCATTGGTTATTCTTTCTATGAGATGCTAGGGTTGGTTAGTGGTGTTTGTATAATACCTGAACCTGGATCTACGCGCATTGTCGATTTGAATTCGTAGCAGAATAGAGGGCCCACCACACATATGGAAGTGCCCCGAAGGAACAGTTTTGGGGTCGCCAGCAATGACATCGCCATCTAGGGTTTGAATTTGATAACTTCCGACAGAGTTCTCCAAGACTACTCGCCGGCAAAAGACAGTAACAAGAAACATTTGGGGATGTTGTTGTTTCGCGGTGGAATTGAAGGGTTATAATGGGGAAATAAAAATGGGAAGGGATTAATCTAATACTTTAATTCTTTATCAGGTCTAATCCCACCCCATAGACATGATAAAATTATACATTATTTTGATGTATTAAGGGAGTTTGATGTATAAGCTTATATTATACGATGATCGCACCAAACAATTGATAATGTCATAATATATAGTATAAACTTGTACTATCAGACCTTGTACATCATATCAAAAATTGAGAATATCATAACGTCATACAGACAGAAATTATGATGAATTTCATCTATTTGTGATATAACGGGGTATTTTCTTTTTTCTTTTTTTTTTGGAAGGGGACAACAATTCATGCTACTTAGTACTTGGTAAGAAAACTTTTGTACAAAAATTACTACGGATGTTTCATAATTAATCATGATTGAAAAGAAAAGAAAAACAAAAGTTTTGAATAGTATGACGAATAAGTACTTAATTCATACCATTTAACATCTTTCTCTTTTTACTTAAATGATAAAATAAGGTAAAATTTAGTTTTTTTTTTTTTTGGAGGTTACAAGGAATTGAACACAACACCCTACACTACACACACTCTTAACACACACACCCCACACCACTAGGCTAACCCTAGTGGTGCTAAAATTTAGTTTTTTTTTTTGGAATAATATATTTATTTATTTTTTTAAAATTAAAGTTCAAATATTTAAAATACATAGTTATGAAATACTCCTTTGCTAGATTTTTACAAAAAAAATATTAAATATTTAATGTTTATCAAAATACACTCTCAAAAAATTATGTAGTGTCCATGTTAACCCACGTGAAGAGAAAAGAAAAAAAATAAAGTCACTAACATTTTTATGTGTGTATTTTTTTGAATATTAGATACAATTATTTAAAATAATTTTAAAAATTTTAAATACTAAATTGTAGAGAGAATCCCTACCAAAAGAAAAATAATAATAATAAAGATGGCAATGGGAGCTGTACGCCTGTACCGTTGCTATATCAGCTCGAAATGAAGTAACAAATAATTTTCAAAAATGAAACTGCCAAAATGGTTTGTTTCAACCTTAGAGCTTGCTTAACATCAGCATCTCAAACCCTATCCCCACCTCTTATTTTGTCCATCATTGGGAAGTGGCAACCCAAGGAGCCCTTGAATCAGAGGTGTCTGTCTTTGCTTGATACCAATCGTAAGTATAAATCCTTTTATTTTATTTTTTTATTTTAGAGGTTGAACTTGCCCTTTTGCAAATTGATTTTAGATCTAAGTGAACCCTTGTTATTTGAGATCTAAGCAAAACTAACGATACAACTGTAACTGTGAGAGTTGTACAACATTAATTAAATTCTATAAGAAATCACATTGCACCCTGGCTGTCACCATCTCATGTATTTCAAGCACAATTTAGAAATGGAGCCCTTTTTTTTTTCGATATGATGTTCGTTGATAAACATTAGTAAAATCTCAAATTTTCGATAAAAAAACAATAACGGCCACTCAATATATTAATAATTTGTTAGGTTTTAGGTGTTCTTTTTTCTTTTCTTTTTTCTTTTTTTTTTAATCCATGTCGGTTTAATTCGGATGTTATAGCCATTTTCTTATAACATAATACTTCTATTTCCCATACATTTATTATGATATGTCCTTTTTATTCTGATATAGAATCCAGCATATGTTTAATTATTGTTCCCTTTTATAAAAAATCTGATAGTATAACGCCTAATTATATAAGATCTAATAAATTTTAATATTTTCTAGCATTTGATATGATATTGTATAAGATAATGTATTATATAAGATAATCATATTCAATATGATGTTCGTTGATAAACATTAGTAAAATCTCAAATTTTCGATAAAAAAAAAAAAAAAAAAAAAAACAATAACGGCCACTCAATATATTAATAACTTGTTAGGTTTCAGGTGTTTTTTTTTTTTTTTTTAATCCATGTCGGTTTAATTCGGATGTTATTTTTCTATAACATGATACTTCTATTTCCCATACATTTATTATGATACGTCGCTTTTATTCTGATATAGAATCTAGCATATGTTTAATTATTGTTCCCTGTTATAAATAATGTATATGTATAATGTATATGTATAGTTACCAATACAGTTCTCATAATAAATTGAACCCTGGCTTTTCTTGTTCATCTACTTCTCTGCCACTTTAAATTAAAAGCTTGTGGGAGTCAGGACATACATCTTACAAGCATGTGAATCTAATTCAGCAGAGATTTCTCCTGAAACCGATTCTTGTGTTGAATGCTGCAGAATTCATTATACATAATCAAAACCATATATATATAGGTATCTCCATAGTAAAGAACAGAATAAATGAAACTAAGTATCTCACCGCCCATAAATCTCTTGCATCAACTATAGTTCCCGGTTCTAGGCCTATGTCAGACCAGGATGCAGTCACTGTTGCATTTGATGAACTTCTATTCCATAAGATCACTGCTGCCTTGTTATCACTAAGAGGACCTGCCCATACCTGCCACATTACCTATCTATATTAAGAAGCTGTGTTTGAGAAATTTGACATTCATTCTGCTTATGTATATATATATATATATATATATATATATGTCTATAGATACAATTGCCTACCAATGATATTTTGACTTGAGGGGTACATTTGTTTGTGTTTGCTTTATTTGTATGTGATTAGATAGGATAAATGCATTCAAAAATAGTTTCGTAGCAGTGGTATTACAGTTTTATAGTGATATATGAAAGCATAAAGTAGCATTTTAAGAGAAGATGGTGAGAACCTTATCTCCAGTTTTACTGAATTAAGAACAGACGCAGACAAGAAAAGAAAAAAGGAAATTACCTCCAAATCGCTGTTACTTTTCACCTTCTTTCCTTGAACTCCTAGTTTGTCTGCAATACCACAAGAAGGTTATGAGTTTTATAGCATTTTCTATTGAAGAAATCAATTCTTGTCTTTTAAGAAAGTCAGCAGTGTTTTTATTTCTGTTCATGCCTTGGTTTACAGCAATAACTTCCTGGTTGCTTATCAGTTCATATGTGGAGTCATCCATTGCTCGAATATCACAACCAACCAATAAAGGAGCCTATTTATACACAAGGCAATATAGTTAAACAGCCAACTACATTTTCCTGAAAGGATGTTATAAGGTAATGTCTCAACACCTATTATCTAAAATTTGTTTCATTGTACCTTAGCTAATGCCCATATGCTGAAATGGGCACGATATTCTTCTGTGGTCATACCTCCATTTCCAACTTCGAGCATGTCAGGATCTATTACGCCAAAAAGCAATGGCATATATCAAGATCTAAGGTCCAACTTTGAGATTGATGTAATTACAATATTCTGAAGTTCAATGGTATACATAAAAATTAACTACATAACTAGTGATGTCAATATTTACCATTCCATCCTCCAGGTCCAGCATAAGATGCCCATTTGTCATTTGAATCTGCTATGGAAGTCATACTGGGAGGGAGAGTAAAATTAGTCCCCCATAATGTACTTAAAAGTAGTTCCCCATGAGGAAAATGAAGAAAAGAAACTAAATAATGCAAATACATGAAAATGAATTCTTGATAGTTGATACTTTAGTTCAATTATCTTGTTTAAATGTTTATCCAAGACGAACAATTCTTAAACAAATATCTGTCAGTAAAGTATGAATGTGAAATACATTCGTGCTCACCTATTCCAGCTATCCTCAATGTCATCTGTTGTTCTCCAACTATTTCCCACATCTTTGGCCCAAGTTCCTGGGTCTTCCAGTCCCCTATGTTTGAGAAAGCAAGGAATCATAAATTATGCTGTGTCTCCCAACTTATAGAGGTATAAACTAAATGAAATACTAAGTTTACTTTCTTTCTTTATAAGAAACATCATCACGAATTCGACTCACCATTCACACATGGAGAAGAAGATTGGCCTTCCAGAGTTTAATAATGCTTCACTCATTGGTGGGTACCTGTTTCTATAAACTGTATGAATTCCTGTTTTTTTATAAGCATGTAGATATATATATATTTACTTATTTGCATTTGAAGGCAATAAATACCTTTCTCTGACGCTTATATCATTATTTTGACAATTATCATACTTCAAATAGTCAACTTCCTAAAGTAACATTTGAATAAGATATTAGTTAACATTATATAGGATATGTAAGTTGATAGAAATGCAAAATGACTTTCAAATGAATGGCATCATACCCAGGAAGCAAATGTTTTTGCATCTTGTTCTTCATGTCCCAGTGATCCAGGCATACGTTTACTGCATGTTTGAGTTCTGCAGAGAAATTCTAAGTGATCAGAAATGCTTGAATAATCATAGACATGCATGCTAAACATTCAAAGCATAAGGTTAATGGTTGATACCCAGCATCAGAATAGATCCCAAACTTTAACCCTTTGCTGTGAACATAATCAGCTAGAGCCTTAATTCCGGAAGGAAATGATGCAGAGTTGGGAACCATATTTCCCTGAGATCATTTTTAATTTGTCAGAGCTATCTAAATGGATACTATAATCTATACAGTTTAAATTAATTAACTTGCATTTAATTTTAAATAAATAAAGAAAGGAATATATACATTATATAAAATATATAGGATAAACTGATTGCTATATGTAGAGTATATGTAGAGGTGAGAATCATAAGACAGCTGAAATGTGATTAATTTATTATTTTCACTTTATCTTTCTTGTTCTTTTGTACATTTGCAAAACTTTTTTTTTTTTTTTTTTTTTTTTTTTTTTTTTTGGTTTTTTCCTGTCAGTAGTCATGTAACTAAGACTATTAATTAATGTACCACAAGAGATCAATAAAGCATATACAAATTATGGAGACATACCTCATTGTCTCGATTAAGTTCGGCCCAACAGTCATCTAAAAAACATACAGAACAATAGATATTAAAATTGCTTCCTTATAAGTAAAATATATAGTGAACATACACACACAATGTGATTAACTATCAATGTAATATACTTTGACTTTGAAGCTTGTAATAGTTTTTAAAATGGATAATATTATGTATTTCATTGGTAGTGTAAAACTCTGTATATTGTAAACAGCTTCAAATTAAATAATAGTAATAATACTCATAATAGAAGTAGCAGTCTACCTAAATTAACATATTGATACCCCATAGCAGCAAGTCCCGTCGATATCATAGCATCAGCTGTAATAATGAAGAAAGATAACATAAATATTCGCTATTACTATGTCTGATATTTGAAGTACACATATTGGTGAATTTCAAGCTCACATAATGAAGTTACCTGTTTCTCGAACCATGCTTTCATTAACGTCGCAGCGAAAGTGATTCCAGCTGTTCCACCTGATGATCAGCATTCATATATTATCATTTATATACTTTCATGAATTTAAGTGAAAACTAGTTGAAAATTTTTATTTGATCTATCTAGACACATAACCCACTTTCAACATAGACTCCTTGTTTTGATACCCGATAATTTTTTTTTTTTTTAAGATATCAATTAGTGATACCTAAACGTGGATAACTGATAAGGGATTAAATTTGAGTCATGCAGTTATATTAAAAACTTGATAGGAAATCTTTGCCGCCCTGATGGTCTTGCCCAACTTGACCGCATTAATCAATAAATCGGTGGATAAGTACATGATAATTATTTGTATTGAAGTAAATAGAGAAAAAAGACTAAATCATTGTTTCAAAATTTTCTGAGAGTTGCAAAACTGAAACATGAAGTGAATAGAAGATTTAAATATATTTCTGGCTGGGTGGCTTAATTAGGAAAATGATATCAAATAGGTGAAAGATACTTAGGTAGTGTTTGGTTCGGGAGAAATTTTTCTTTTACTAGGGAAATGTAATTGATAGGGAAATGGTTGGAAAGTGAGTTTGGTAGGAAAATGTAAAAAAAGTTGTTTGGTTGACCCAAATATTACCAGGGAAATTTATTTAAATATGCAAAATTTATGTTCGGGAGAAACTTTGCACCTGTTTTTTCACTTTCCCAGTTATCTCAAAATACCACATCTCAAGTGGTATTCTGTAACAGTGAATTCCATCCAAAAATCAACACAAAAGTCATTTTCCCATCTATCCTATTTGCTTGGTATTTTTTGAAAAAACCTGAACCAAACGTGGTATTTTCCAATATCCATTTACACTTTCCCATCAATCCCAAAATAAACCTTCAACCAAACACTACCTTAGAGAAATATGTGATATGGACACTTCAAAAACTTTGATGTATTGTGTCCGACACTTTATGACACTCTCCGACACTCCAACATGTGTTGCAGAGATTCAAAAAAGGGATCAAATGTTGTATTGCGTTGCGTTTTTAGTTCAAACTATTAGTTTCATTGGATTACGGTTACCATTTTATTGAGTTTAATATAAATATTTTGAATATCTTATGTATCTTTGCAAAATTGATGGATATTATAAGTTTAGTTTCGTTTTTTTATTAAACTATTGAATATTAAATATAATATATACTACATAAATTAAAAATATTATTTAATATCAAAACGTGTCCTAATAGGTCAAAATCTTACATTTTTTAAAATTAATGTGTCGAAATATCGTATCCCGTGTCACGTATTAGTGTGCAACATAGTACATATCTGCCCACTGTGCGCCATCTAGAAAAATAGTATTATTCATTCAGTTACATACAAATGTGTATGTAAGTTTTGTATTATTGTTATTACTCTATTGAATATGCACCTAATTTTATTCCTTTTGTTTGGATGAAAAGAAATAAAATGAGGGAGGAGAAAAACTTTTAAAAAAGTTTCGTTGAAAAAAAAACAGGAAATCCAGAAATAGATGGGAACACTTGAGAGTCGAGAGACTTCATATTGAATTCAGTGGGAGGACGTGCCACCATTTCAAGCCTCCTGAATCCCTTAGCTTTCCTTGTATCTAAAGCATTTGAATAACAATAATATTTTTAGCAATAACGTCCTCTTACACACGTCATTTTAGTTACGCATTTATATCCTCAATAAAGGGAGATATATAGGTATACATAAAAAAAAAAAAAAAAAAAAAGTTAGTATAATTAACACTAATCTAAGAGAAGGTGTGCGACTTATGTAATCTAAAAACTTATATATTGCAGTAATATTTATGTTCAAACAGCAATCAAATGATAATTCACCTTAAATTAGTTTCTTATTAAACCAATTTGGTCTTGTGTTAAATGCCAAAATAAAGATGGATGTATACAACATAAAAAGCTAGATCTCAAAAAAAGGAAAAGATAGAGATGAAGGAAAAGAAGTTGGTAAAGAGGCTTACCCCATGGGAGGTGTCTGGGCGAGTCCATTTTCAAGCATGTATCTCCTAACCTTCTCCGTGGACATGGAATCTTCTCTGGTTTTGTTGGCTAATAAGCGAGCAGCGGATGAAGCATTTGCATTCAAGAGCAAAAGGATGCATGATGCAAGAACAATTGCCATGGCTAACCTGCAGCTCCAACCTTGCATGGCCATATATGGTAATATAAAAATATAAATGTAAATGTATGTCAATGTGTTTTTGAATCGAAGATGGTTATTAATTAAAGAGATGTTGATGGCCAATGCGCAAGGTGAAATAGAACAGGGTATAATAAGAAGAAGAAGAAGATAACTTGGGAAGTGGTGGCTATTGATGTAGTAATTAAGCAAAAAGTAGGGTGGAACGGTGTGTGAAGAAACGAAGAGTATGTTTGGCAATTTATTATAGAGAAAGTGGAAGTGAGGTGTGGTTGTGTCCAAATGGACTAGCTTGTCCAGTGGATGACATAACAATAATGCCTATCCTCAAACCGAAAGATCATTCCGTGGCTATCTTTTTCTTTCTCTTTTGGTTTTTTGAAACAAAAGAATTTTAACTTGAATGTTATTTTGCCATCATACAACCGAAATTTAGGCAACGTATGATCGAAAATTGTTTTACTTGTTGAATTAAGTCAAGGAATGCTTAATTTATTGGCTAGACGACGCAGATGCATTTTCTATAACATTATATTTTAAATAATTAGGATACCTTTAAGAGATTTTATATTGGGAAGATATAGTTTTGACACAAAGTTTTACTATTAAGAAGTTAAGCATAAATTATTATTTACCATATGAATGTGTGTGTGGGTATATAAGGTAAAACTTTTAATTTACCAAACTGTAATTTGCTTCAATTGTTTATTCAACGGGGACCTAGTGTGCATCTTTCCTAAGTAGATGCCTCATAACTTTGTCTTGTAGTGTAACATTTATATCCAATACATCTCATAAAGAAAGGCAAAAATTTGAAGTTGAAATTTTGTTTTGGAGCATTTAAATTGCCACTTTGTACTGATTTATGGTATGTGATATGTTGGCAAAGATACACACACACAGAGAGAGAGAGAGAGAGAGAGAGAGAGAGAGAGAGAGAGAGAGAGAGGTAATTGAAGCTATTTCATAATATTCTTAATCTTTGTGCATATCTTTCTACAGTTATAAGTTGGCCTCACCCATTTGAAGCTGGAAGCATTAACCTGATTGGGTTGATCACTGGCTTGTCATTTGACATGTAACGTTGAAGGAGGATGGAATTAACTCGCTTATATATTAGAGGCACAGAGAAGTAAAAAGTTATAATAATCGTTAACAGTGAAGATTGTGGTAAAAATTAAGAATATTAGTTAGGATGTCTACATGCTCATGGATTAGGTTGTCATAAAGTAGACATCAAATTTTTTTAATTTATTTATTTTTTAATGGATAATGACACATTTGCGGAGCCTAAGAAAAAGAGTGGGGTCGAATAGATAACAGAAAAGTAGAACGAAGAACATTTGTCAGAATCCAACCTCATTCAATTGTTGTATATATATGTCTTATCTCGTGGCAAGTGTTCTTCATTCTACATTTCTACTTCTATGTTAAATCGAACACTTGTATGTCTTATCTAGTCATAATGTTGGACAGCTGTTGGCAAAAACGCGTTCTATTTATTCCTATGAAGATACATAAACATCATGGCTTGTTCAATTCCGCAAGCAGGGACGTCATGGCTGTGTTAACGACTTAACGTTATGCCCTATAAAATCATTTTTTAAGCAACTTCAATTCAAAGTTATTCAGCGGTTGTGACGTTAATTTGTTATGGTATGGTGCCTTCTAAGCCTAAGACTTGGTCTTTACGTGCAAGTTTTTCCTTTTGATCATTGATGACATTCCGCAAACCTGAGGCAAGTGTTGTTGCGCGTTTTATGTAGACTTCGACCATGCCTTCTTGTGTTTAGAGTTCAAACTGAGGCATTGTATAATGACCCTTAATGGTAAATCTTAATTAGAGGTTTAATTTAAGGATTTAAATGTCAAAGTTAGATTCAGTGAGTGATTTTGAGTATTTTGATTGTAATCATGACTAGGTTATGAACAGTGCGTTATGTCGAGGAATTTGCAGTCTTGTGAATTAACCGGTAGAGCTTATATAAGCAAAATGATTGTTGAGACATAATTTGATAATTCCGACGCCAAATATGAGTTCAGAACGAAAAATTGTATAGTCTGGCACTTTCCGTGAAAATATCGTGAATAGTGTTTCTACCGGGTATTTTGTACTGCTGTTTAAGTAACCGGTAGAGTCCAGAAGCAAATAATTAATGAAATAAGAATAAGAAAGTCCAATATATGCCAAACAAGTCAAAATAGGCCCAATAATGATAAGTTCATAAGTTTTAAGTTCCGTAAGTAAACGAAGTACAGTTAGTGATTCACAGTACATTTTGTCAAAAACGGTGCAGAAACCATACTGTGAATTATGAATATGGTTCCTTAGAAAATAAAAATTAATGTAAATGAGTTCAGAAAAATAAAAATATGTTTGTAGCTTTAAGTTAGTTCCGGGTCAGTTTAAGTTAAAATACGCGATAGAAAAATAACCGGGTAAAAAGGCCACATGTGCTTAAAACCTTAAGTGGCTTAAAGGAACACTATTCAAATCAGTTCTCTCTCCTCTCCTCCCTCAAGAACCCGAGCTGCTCACATGGAAGGGGCTTAGGGTTTCATTTTGTTTTTCCTTGATTTCTCTTTCAAGCATCCACCAAAACACAAAGTCCATTACATGAAATCGATAGTAATCCACCCAATGAATCCATCCCACCACTTAGTTTGAGCTAATTTTGCATGTGTGAGAAGCTCTTCTCTTTCCCCTTTTCGTTTTACTATTCATCAAGGGTGGAAAGTTGAGTTTTCGATGGAGCTCTGCTTGGAGGTTGCCCTCTAGGCTTTGTACATGTGATTAGAAGTAAGGGACCTCTATATCTATAGTTTTATTTTGGTGATTTAAGTCTTGAAAAATTATGAGCATGTTGGTGGAAAATAAATATAGTTTAAAATTGAATTGATGATAGATTATTGGTGTGTTAAATATTGGAATGTGAAATAAGCTTGTGAACATGTATAAAATTGGAAAAAAATCCCATGGTGAAATGCCCTTTATGTTTCGGCCATCATAGATAATGGGGAGGATGTTGTGCAAAAATTTTATTGTATATTTTGGGAAGAGTAATATGTTAGAGGAAGTGGAAAATTGATGAGTTAGCTAAGAATGCAAAAGTGGGGAAAAATCTTATGAAATTATGCCCTTATGAGTTCGGTCATGACGGGCTTTGGAGGGGTGTTTATGTTAAAAAAATTAGTTGAATACCTTGTGACAATATACCTATATAGGCTTAGGTATATGTGAGTTATTTTGTAAGTGAAGAAAATAGATGAAAAAGAAAGAAACCATTGGCTCTCCTTTATGGATTTCGGCCTTATAGGTAGGGGTGTTCATCAACCGATCCAAACCGATTCAAACCGCGATAACCGAACCGAAAAACCAATAACCGAATAAACCGAAAATCGAAAAATTGAAAACCGAAAAAAAACCGCAAAATTTAATTGGATTGGATCAGTTTTGGATGGGTTGCTGAAAATCGATTCAATCCAAACCGATCCAATATATTAATTCTCCACTACCAACTTGGGTCTTTCTCTAATCATAGCCTAAAAGTTTCTAAACCCAAGACCCATTAACTCATCAACAAAACCCAAGAAAAAATCTAGTCATATCTCATCAACTAAATTTTATTTTTGTAGAGCTTCATATCTCATTGCCAAAAAAAAACTATATTATAGTTTACTAATGCTTTTGTATTTAAAAAAAAAATAAAATTACAAAGCCAATATATACAATATATACAAAAGATGTTATTTGCACAATAATCATGAAATAAATTTTAGGATTTTAAGAAAACCGAAAACCGATCCAATCCAAACCGAAAAAAATTGGATTGGATCGGATCGGATTTGAAAAAAAATCCAAACCGAATGGATGATTATATGATCAAGCCGAAGAGATTGGATCAGATGATTTTTGCTTCCAAAACTGATCCAATCCAGACCGCGAACACCCCTACTTATAGGATAAATTAAGGATGATTAGATTATGTTTTATTTTGTTAAGGTATTGAGTTTTCAATACATGAAATTAATAAGATTATGAAGTGAAATTATGGAAAAAGATCTTGATTTCCTAAGTGTAGGTCCACGACCTTTTAAAGAAAATGGCATGAATTATGTGGAAAATGCTCTAGTGAACATTTGATTAAATTAAAGAATGCTAACGAGTATAAAATGGTCTAGACTTGTGTATTGGCATAGGATTGGCAAAAATGTAAAGAAATAAAAATAAGCGATAAAATGTATGCCTTATGAAAAATCTAGGCATGATAGCATTTTATTGATTTGTATTTTGGATTCTTTCTCTAGGTGTGTCTAGGGACTGAAAAAGGTCTGAATCCTGTTAAAGCGGTATAAGTAACTTGTGCCACAAGTAAGCGAACTTGAAAAGCTTCAAGAGCTAAGCTCTATGTTTAAGGAGTCTTTTCCTGCTTGAGTGCTCCACCATGGTTAGTGAACTATGGTTGGACTTTATGACTGTTATTTTGATACTCTGTATAGATGCATTCATATAGAGTTATTTGATAACATGATATAACTTGTTCTGATATAATTTCTGTATTGATGTATGGTACACTGATGTCTTCTTGGGATTTCCCTGAGATTGACGATGTACACCTCTGACATGTTCTGGTTCTGCTTGGGGTCCTCCCTTGGGAACACGTGCATTGATTTCCGCTTGTGGTCCTCCCTTGGGAATGACGGCGCACGCCTCTGATATGATATGATATAAATATGCTTTGTTATGTTATGATATTTGTTATAAATGCATTTGTATACTCTGTATCTGACTTTCATGCAAGAGTGAGCCAGGGGTATGGAGAATTCTCTATAAACCTAGAGCTTATTGAGATTTGTTATCTCACCCCTCGTTGGGGACATCATTTCAGGTGCCCAGATTCCCGGTGAGCCCTCACTAGTCAGGGATGCGACCCGAGGCTGAGGATTTTGGACGGATTTGGATTTTGAGTAGCTGTAGGCTACTTCTATTTTGGAGTACAGTACTTTCATTTAGT